TAAAGAGCGCTTTTTATTCGCGTTTTGATTATGTTTTTTGTTATTTAATTGTGATTTTCATTGTTATTTGACTATTATTTTGACGTCTCTTCGCACGAATTAACGGCAAACAAATCAAATGGATTTTCAATGATTACTATTATATAAGAGTTATTTTATGTATTAATAAATTCTGTTTAAATCGCGGATTTTTCGTGTATGTGTTGTTTATTTGGTGCTTAATTGCTGTGTAATTAATGACAATTACGGTACTATTAATTAGTTTAGAAGTCTCGGTTTAAATGCTTGTAAATAGAGATAACCTCCCGGTGCTCGTATAATAAAGCAGTTGTGATAATAGTGTTAAATTGATCAAATTGTCCGGTTTAGTGGTGCTAATCATTTACATTGAATTCAAAATCCAAAACTTGTTTCAATTCAATGAAACACTGGATAATCGGACGTAATATGTGCGCGAAATAGTGACAACTCGTCCACCAAATTGATTGAATGCATGAAATAATAAGTTTATATTATATTACAAATCAATTTATAAGACAATTAAATCAACTCAATGTTCACTAAATGTACACAAAAAGTGATTCAATTAAATACCAAAAGGGATATCAAATAGCCGAAAATGACCGAAAATGTCTACAATAGTGGCAAACAGTGCGCGAAGTACAGTGAGAGCTGTTACGGCAAATACATTGAATGCGGTGGGAAGTGGTGGTGAGGGGATGGGTAGGTTTAAGCTTTGCGCAGAGGCAGTACCTCAAACAATGAAGGTTATCCTGAGTTGAGGTTATTGCTAGTTGAAAACTAAACCCAATACCCCGCCAATACGATTTCGGTCGCATTCGGCAATTTTTGGAGGCCTTTACCGGCCATACCATTGAATTACCAAAAATAGATGCACGCCCAAAAAACACCTACATACATTTTATTGTTAGTGGTGTAATTATTGTAATTAATTGTTACGATTTTATTTCGTATTTATCAATTTTCTATGTGATATGATAACGTTTTGTAGTACTGTATGTAGCTAGGTATGTCCTTTGATGTCCATTGGGCAGTGGGTTGACCACCAGGTCGTGTGAACATTGATTTAATGTCTGTCCGCACCATTTGATTCACATTCAGACTATTATTCAGAGATTGTGGTCAAAGAGTTGCCAAATAAAGCATTTAATCCTAATATTTATTTAGTCATAAGTTTTACAAACTTTGAGAATTACTTTTTTAAACAATTTATTAATGAATTTAATTATTTTAGATCTTAGGCTACGTAATGATTACATATTTAATATATACATGGTAAAAAGTAAAACAACTATCATTATTAATACAGTAAAACAAAATTTAGTAAAATTATCAAAAGTACAAAATATTTTTAAATACAAAAACTTATTGTGATTTCAGGTTTGATTGCATGACTTGTCTACGGGTTTGTTGGCCTAAAGTGTTGATCGAGAGTACAATTTCCAACACCAGGAATATAAACATAATTATATCGATGACTATCTCGAAAGGGGTGACAAAAACACCGAAAATAGTGGCAATTTGTCGGAACAAATGAATGGGAAACTGAATCAAAACCGATAGCAACACGAATGCCAACAACTGTCGGATTCTGTCGAATAGGTTCCCCACATATCCTAAGTATAGGCGCGGAATCTCGATGACCACCAGAATGGACAGGGATGTGATGGCCAGGAATCGGTGTATGTCCGATAGGATGTGCAGTTTTTGCGTTAATGACAGTAACTGTGCGATAATCCAGACGCCGGCGAAATAGCTGTTGAAATATATACACATTTGCAGCCATAGACTGACCGCGAATTCACCGCTTTTTAGCTTCAAGTCTTGTGTCAAGTCTTGAAACTCGTCACTCGTTTGACCGTTACTTTCCATTTGGTATTAATTTAACTGATGTTTAGTTTTAATTTTTATAATATTTGCTAAATATTCACTAAATTTGATTAAATTATGAATTTTTTCAAGTTTTGCGTCGAGAATAGTGTTGTGTTTTGTTTTGTTTGTGCGATATTCTGGTTGTCAACGAAACCCATGAATTGTTATGTGTTTTGCATTCATCTGAGCCTTTAATGCAGTAAACATTGAATTTAACAAACTTTAAATTGTTATATAAAATAGGTTTATTTTTTGGATATATTATATATAGTATAAAGAGTTATTTGTAACCATTTTATTATAATAGTTATTGTATTATATTTGCTATAATAATTAAAATTATAATTAATTTAAGCAAAATAATTTTGTATTTATTAAATATATTTACGGTATTTATAAATCATAGACAAACTTTTTTATAACACAAAATTTAATATATTTAAAATAAATATACAATATATGAATCTTGAATTGAAATTATTTTGAAAAATACTTATTTTGGTTTATTGATTACATTTCTATTTAATAGAATAATTATAATAGGTTATATAATCTTAAATTTTAAATAAAAAAATTACTGACTTATTAAGAATTGCTAGCTAAATTAATTTATATTGATTTTCAATTTAATACAGTAAGATTATATTTTATAAAATCAAAGTTTGCAACAATTTATTAGAAAAAAGAGATCTTTATTTGAATTATAAATACAATATAAGTATAAAATGGACGGCAATTGGAGACAATTTACTGTCCGTTCAATTTGTTCGTCAAAATTTTATTTACAATATTATTTTCATACAATATATTTATATTAATCTTAATATAACTCATATATAAAACAATTTGAAAAATTCTTAATAATCACTAAAAGGTTTAATTGAGTTCTTCAGACAATATATCATCTCTTCGTTTCATAACCAATCGTTTTGTCTGTAAAATACAATTTAATAAAATTAGTTTTTCACTCAAAATATATTAATATGTTTAAAATTTTTTAACATTACAATTCAGTTCATATTATCACTTAATTTAAATTAAGTTAATCTATACAACATTAATCCATATTATCTCTCATGTTTAAGAATCCAATTCTGGATTATAAACAAAAAATAGTATTTTATACGAAAACCTATTTGCTTTGGTTTAAGACATACTTTTCAAATGTCTTTTGTAAACAATAAATCGCTTGAAAGCAGAATATAAGGCAAAAAAGTATTGATATTAGAGTTAAGGAGTTTTACTGTATTAATAATGATAGTTGTTTTACTTTTTACCATGTATATATTAAATATGTAATCATTACGTAGCCTAAGATCTAAAATAATTAAATTCATTAATAAATTGTTTAAAAAAGTAATTCTCAAAGTTTGTAAAACTTATGACTAATAAATATTAGGATTAAATGCTTTATTTGACAACTCTTTGACCACAATCTCTGAATAATAGTCTGAATGCGAATCAAATGGTGTGGACAGACATCAAATCAATACCAACACGACGTGGTGGTCAACCCAATGGACATCAAAAGAGATACCTAGTACTACAAAACGTTATCATATCGCATAGAAAATTCATACATACGAAATAAAATCGTAACAAAAACTAATTACAATAATTACACAACTAACAATAAAAAGTATGTAGGTGTTTTTTGGGCGTGCATCTATTTTTAGAAATTCAATGGTATGGCCGGTAAAGGCCTCCAAAAATTGCCGAATGCGACCGTGAGGTCGTATTGGCGGGGTATTGGGTTTAGTTTTCAACTAGCAATAACCTCAACTCAGGATAACCTTCATTGTTTGAGGTACTGCCTCTGCGCAAAGCTTAAACCTACCCGTCCCCTCACCATCACTTCCCACCGCATTCAATGTATTTGCCGTAACAGCTCTCACTGTATTTCGCGCACTGTTTGCCACTATTTTAGACATTTTCGCTTATTTTCCGCTATTTTATATCCCTTTTGGTATTTAATTGAATCACTTTTTGTGTACATTTAGTGAACATTCAGTTGATTTAATTGTCTTATAAATTGATTTGTAATATAATATAAACTTATTATTTCATGCATTCAATCAATTTGGTGGACGAGTTGTCACTATTCGCGCACATATTACGTCCGATTATGCAGTGTTTCATTGAATTGAAACAAGTTTTGGATTTTCAATTGAATGTAACTTCTAAATGATCATCACCACTAAACCGGACAATTTGATCAATTTTACACTATTATCACAATTGCTTTATTATACGAGCACCTGGAGGTTATGTCTCTATTTACAAGCATTTAAACCGAGACTTTTAAACTAATTAATAGTACCGTAATTGTCATTAATTACACAGCAATTAAGCACCAAATAAACAACACATACACCAAAAATCCGCGATTTAAACAGAATTTATTAATACATAAAATATCTCTTATATAATAGTAATCATTGAAAATCCATTTGATTTGTTTGCCGTTAATTCGTGCGAAGAGACGTCAAAATAATAGTCAAATAACAATGAAAATCACAATTAAATAACAAAAAACATGATTTTTCGCGAGAAATAAACTTGAGAAGCCGGTTAGAGAGCTACCGAAATGAGGTCCTGACTCAGCTCTCATTGTCCTCAAACGCCTTGCCGAGGTCTTCCAACAGGAGTAAGAAGGTCAGTATGTGCAGTGCATCGCATTGTTTTGCGACACTGTATTCAAACCTCTCGTCCGACTCCTCGTCAAAGATCTCCTCCTCGGCGTTCACGTACGTCACCGACGGATCAGTTGTGGCGCTCTGATCGCTCTCCGAAGACTTCTTACTCGTATCGTTAGCCTTGGGTTTCAACACTTTGCAGACCATGAGATACCAATCGAAGTCCAGATCTAACTTCACGTGTTTGTCGCGTTTGGCGGCCTTCAGGTCACTGAACAGCTGCTGATACGATGGCAACGATATCTTCGGCGGCAGATTCGAGAACCTCTCGTTCACTATAAGACCTATTTTTGACGATTCAGTCGACAATAGTTTGTGGATTACTAACCAAAACCCGCATATTCACCAATTATACAAAGACTAAACAAACTACGTGAGCAACAGGCGTATACTCCAGTTTCCATACTGTCTTCACTGCGGTATCTGCAGCATTAGGAGGAGTAGTAGGTAGGCCTCCACTTCCTCCTCGTCCTCCACCTCTTCCTGCTATCAATGCATTCACACAATCAGTAAATTCAAAATCAATTAAACCTACAATTCATGGATCAATTACAAGACATACACTTCGAGTGATTGTGTGGTTAAGTGTCAATCAATGGCTATTTAAAACCAGTTATCACACAGATATCACTACTTTTATTAAATGGTACTTAAGATGTGTCTCACTATGTCTTTGAGTGACACCAGACTCCTCAGCATTCATATGACGAGCCTTAGATAAGTTACTGACAATGGTGTTTTGAGTACTCGTTTGCCTAGGGGTTTTGTATGTACAGAATGTTAATAGAGTGTTGGGTATGCTTACGTATGGAATTCGTGGCTTGTCTACCGTGAAACCAGGTCAAGAAGTTGAGACAACTGCGAGATATCTATGCTTTCTTTGAGCCAAAGCTGTTGCAGAAGACATTTAATGCCATTGAAGTCTTCGTCGAGCACCTGATATGCGCTGAAGTCGATGTGTATTTCCTATCATTTGGTCACAAATCAGACAATTAGTGATCAAATGAGATGATAATCCAAGACATACCTTATCAGTGAACTCATCGCCTTCGCTGTCATCGGACTCCAGATCCGAGTCTTCCTCCGAGTCTTCGGACCCGTCGTCCACCTCTTCATCTATGTCTTCGTCATCTTTGGCTCGTTTGTCATCAGTGTTGGCCTCGTCTTCGGCTTCTTCGTCGTGTTTCCTCTTCTTCAGCGGCGAAGACATTGTCTCTTATCTCTCGTAATCACTGATAAGATCTAATGAATGGTGAACTCAATGAGTGTTTGTGTTATGAAAGCACACGTGAATTGACTGTCAATTGGAGGCAAACAGTGATTGCATTTCACGCCAATAGGTGTCGCGATCCTTACTATGCATTCATTTGCCATAGACTTGCATACAGTTTAACACTAATTTTCATTCAATTTAATGTTAATTTCGTTTAAAACTAATTAATTATATATCAAAATCTATAAAAACATTAATATTTTATTAAATTTTCATTGAAACATATTTCTGTGAAAATTATGACATTTTTATGCTCAAGAATCGTGTGATTCTTGTGGTTAGGAATGCCTTGTAATTGCCCACAGAATTCTTGTGGTACTGTATATTAGGGCCAGAATTCTTGTGCACAAGTTTTTGCAGTTTATTTATAGCGGCGTTTGGTTGGCGTTTGGGTATTGCGACCAAAATATAACAGTTTAGTTGATTTCAGTCGACAAGAGAAACATTAAAATAATGTGAGATTTGGTTGTGT